TAATACTCGACTAAAATCACACAATATAATCAAATACAATACTAAAATCACGTAATCGCAACTACTAACTAGAGCCACGTAATACGCCACGTAATACGCCACGTAATACGCCACGTAATACGCCACGTAATACGCTACGTAATACGTAATACGCCACGTAATACGCTACGTAATACGTAATACGCCACGTAATACACTATACTATGTTAGTAGTACGTCGGCTAACACAGTAGGTAACATTTGTAATATATCGCGCATTCGTAATAGAACACGTAAATCACGCAATCTATCACGTAATACGTGTATAGTATCACGTAATAGTAGTATTTGTAATAGTCGGCGTATTGTCGGCTTTCGGTATAACGTTCTAGTATCGGATTAACGATATGCCGTTAAGGTAACGTTAACTCATCAATTAGAGTTAAGGTAACGTTAACTTATCGAATTAGAGTTAAGGTAACGTTAAGGTAACTCTAATTTGATTGATTGTAAATAAGGTAACGTTAATCCTTAGAATGCTACTAGTATTGATTTAGTTGTAATATACAACACAGGTTATAAGCCCGGAGCTCTTGTAGTATTCGGGTACTTAAATCCCTTTAAACTTCGCTTATTTTACGTAAATTACGTGCCCTTTACGTGCTTAGTAACCCCCTCCCCCCTTTACGCTAGCGGTAACTTAAGCCTAAGGCCTACGTCCCTAAGACTAAACTTAAGTAAGGGAATAAGCTTAAGTCCCTAGAGGCTATAACTAAACGTGTACGTTACCTATAGCGGGTGTTATAGCTATTTTCTTATACTAAGGTGCCTATACGTATTAGACGGCGTAATTCTAACAGGATTACGTCGGGCTAATATATAAGTAGCTACTTAATACTAAACTAGCTTGATATTATATTAACACTATTAGTATATTACAGGTATATAATACAAACGTCCTTAGAGAGGGTATACTTATATATATTAGTATTGTTAATATAAGGAAAGCTTACTTAGTAGTTAGTATAATTATATAGTAGGGTAGCGACAGACTGTCTATTTCGTTATATAGTTGTAATTAGCGAAAACGTAAGTAAGACAGTATTAAGACTGTTAGAAAAGTCCTTAAATAAGGCACACTGTTTATTAAGGGGTTAAATAAGACGTAATATACGTCGTTATATTTGTACTACGCTAAAAACTAATAAACATACGGGTTATTTGTTAAGGATACCTTATTTTGACAAAAAGTTACCTTAACTCTAATTTATTAAGTTAGAGTTACTTAAACCTTAACTTATTAAATTAAAGTTAAAGTAAAGTTAAGAATCGTTAAATAAGCGTTATCTTAAACTTAAAACCTATTTTCGAGTTACCTTAACTCGAAAACTAGTAAAATTAAGAGTTACCTAACTCTAAATTTACTTTATTTAAAATAGTGTCCTTAACTCTAAGATAGTAAAATTAAGAGTTACTTAAACTATTTCGACTATTATACCTGTTTCTTAAGTGTTTATTAGTTAATATGGCTTCTTCTATCTCCTTTAAAGGAGATAAGCTAATTAGCCGTTCTAATTACGTAGAATAGTTAACTAATGCTACTTTGTTCTTTAAAATTAATAGCTTTATGCCTTATATTAACAGTACAAAAACAAGCCCTAATAAAAGCTTGTATTTTAAGGCTAATAACGAAGCCTATAGTCCGGAATTAGCCGTTAAGTATTACGAAAAATTAAGTAAATACAAAAGGAACAACAAAAGGGCATTAGGGGCTATTAAGTCTATTATCTCGATCAAAAACACTAAGCGCTTTAAAGACAAAACAAGTACTAAGGACTTATTTAAAGTAATTAAGTCTACTTTCGGTAAATTAAGCCTTAAATTAATAAGGCGATACTTAGATCGTATTTTAGAAGCTAATTACAACTCGTTTAGTTCTATAAACGAATACACAAGTCAAATTCAATCCTTGTCTATATATTTAAAGGAACTTAACTATAAGTTACCTAAACCTTTTTTAGCGTAGTTACTTTTTAAGGGGCTACCTTCTTCTTTTAATAGCTTTATCTCTCGTAAATACGAGGAATTAGCTAAGGATATTAAGAATATTGATATTTCGAAATTAATATCTGACTTAATATCTAAAGAAGCTAGAATAAAGTCTAATATAGACTTAGAGGCTAATAAAGCTATTAAAATAAATAAGACCCCTATTTGTAAACATTATAAAAAGAAGGGACATTTAGAGAGTAAATGCTTTATTAAATACCCTAAATTACGTCCTAATAACAATAATAAAGGGACGAATTCAAAGAAGTCTAAACAAAAGGACTCTAACAAAAGGGGTAACAGTAGTACAAACAACAAAACAGAGGCTACTAAAGTAATTATAAGTGCTTTTAGTATTGATTAATGTAAAATAGACGTAGATACAGAAATTAATCCTAATATAGCTTATTTTACTTTACTCCTACCGTAACAAGACTTGTATTAGACTCTAGTACTACTAAGCATTATACTCCTAATAAAGACTGGCTTCTTGATTATAAGGACGTCTCTAATAAGTCTATTTAATTCGCAAATAGT